CTACAATGGTCAGGAGACAATCCGTGCGCATGAGCTATAGGCCTACCTCATCCGAAAGACAACGTATTAAAGCAAAGTGTCCCACCCCAAACACTATTTATAGTCCAACTTCTCACCATTGCAGTACGGTAGCTCGCCGACGATACATTATAAAAAATATGATTATGATCGTTATTATGTGCACATGCAAGCCCGTAGGCAGGATTTTTTAATGGGGGTTCCAATTTTTCACAAAAGGGCACTTTAAGTTCTTACCCACCTCAGCCCCACCATGGCTAGGGTAAATTTTAAAGATATAACACCTTAAATAATGTCCGGAAATTTCAAATTTCAAATAGGCCCCCCCTACTTGGAGTATTAGCGGATGTATGTAGGCCTTTCTTTAATTTATTTGTGATCTTTCTTAATAGGACAGCAGTCGACTGTTACCAGGTTGGCGTAATGAAGCCAGCTGGACCAAAAAAAATCCGCAAGTAGAAAATCCACAAAACCAATATGCAAATCCCGATGAATTTGTATATCCGATTGACGAACGTCCGATTGGACAAAACTGGCAACAGCATATGTATACGAATCGTTATTTTGACCGAGAGGGAGATGCTATGAAAAAGGTGAGTCGGGTATGCGGATACGTAGAAATAGAGAGCAGCTTTCGATTAGGCATTCTTTTCTAAAGCATGGCGATCTGTGAGTCTTAAAAACCATAATTGACTATATGGAATGAATTTAGTGTGAAAGACAGTCTACAACGCTGGAATGACCATAGTCGTCCGCATTTTTTGTTTTAACATAATGCTATCTCTCAGCGACCACTTGCCCATTTCAATCTCTGCATTTGATGTCTCTCGTCTCTCTCACTTTCGGGGCGATTCTCCTGATCGGGTGGGGTGGGGCTGTCTCTTATACACATCTAGATGTGTATAAGAGACAGCTCAAAACGCCTCGAAAGCGGTCCAGTGGGCGAAGCCCCCGAAAATCCTGACAATTTAGGGGTTTAAAATGCTTATTTAATCGACTTTCGAGTTTACTAATATGTTTCTTCCCGACGAATTGTGTTTTTTTTAATCCCCGACGGGGTAGGGGATCTCCCCCCCCCACGCTGGCGCCACCCCTGACGAGAGTTTCAATTTTACACCAGGACAAAAACACTCCTATTAACGACATTTTATTAAAGCATCCAAAGCGCATCATTTGAATTTTAGTAACAGGTATATTTTGGTTTTAAATGAAACAGAATATTGATAATTTAACTCAAATTATTTTATTTTGTTTTTATTTATTATTTTTAGGCTTTTCTGGCTCTTCTACAACAAGACTACAGATAGTGACAAACGATCAATGTATTCTGAGGACACAACCGTTACCACTTCTCCGTTTTTACCTTTTTGAATATACATTAGTGGAGAAATAATTTTCTAGTATATTCTTCACTTTTGGGATAATTTTGTGAATATCTTTACGACTATTAACATAATTATTTGTCGGCCATCAAATGAAATTTTGCTTGTCGATAAAGCGTCATCAAATGAGATTACTTGGTGATAACTCGTCATGAATAATCTTTGATCACACATTGTATTCCTTTGATCATCACATTTGCTAATTCAAATTGCACCTTGATCACTGGTTGACGACGCGTTATAAACACTAAGTTGTTTTATCGTTTATCGATTATGTATCATTGAGAGAAACACGCATCCTATAATACTTCACGTTGTCATGTACGAAAGAAAAAAATGATGATGAATATTTAAATAAATTTGGTTCTCCCGAGTTGTCGATAATTTCTGACATATTTATACTCCAACAATTTACTATTTCAATGAATATTTAATGTAATTTCAAATTCATTGTTATTTCAGTATATGTTATTAGGAATAACTTTAGTGGCAGTCCCAAGAATACGATTTTTCTGAGAGATCGTTTTGAACAGGATTTCTTAGAATAAAGCACAGAGAGTGAGAGGTGCTAACTGGGGCATAAGTTGATAAGAAGGAAGTTCCGAGGCACTCCCGACTTGTCATTATCGATCCACTCTTCCGCATTCTGAGAGGTTGGCTAACGGCTAAACTTTCTACAAATTTCTTTAATTTTTCCGTGTGATAGTAGGCCTAGCCTAGGTAGAATCGTGCAAATTTGCAATCTCTATTTTGCTAATCCATAGTAGACTGGCGCTACAAGGTACTTCCTGCCGTTTTTAACCGACGAAAGAGTGTATCCTCTCTTATATCATTACTTTACTGCTCAAGGGTGTTTAAAATGTATATTAGAAAGAGGTTAGGCCTATATAAGTGGCTAATTAAACATATTTGTGAATAATTAAGCCTAATATTTCAGTCATGTACGTCTACATGTAAACGTTTTTATTTTATTTTATTTTGAATTTATGGCATTGAAATAACATAACCGGTAGTGGTAAAGCAGGGGAACCTTGTAGCCGTTTCCCCTCTCTGGATCCGCTCATGAGAATAATTATAATAAATAAATGTAGTATTTTATCGATGTATATATAAAAATTCACATGATAGCATCCCATTCGGATTTTAGCGCTAAATACCTATTGCTGTATCATACACGCTTACCCCTATCGGTATTTCATTATATATAGTTTTTAGTAGCTACAATATACATAGGCCTATTCTAATTATCCAGGACAAGACAATTTATTGTTTTCGAAAATACATTTTAATTCGATAGGTCTACAAAAATACCCGAAGGAAAGGGAGATAAAACATTTTAAAATTAATAAAAAGTGTGAAGATAATCTATAAATGTATCAATCGTATTTGTTAATTGTTGTGTACTTTTGTGGGCTTCAGAATCAAGTATGGTGGGTCACATTTGATGAGTACAATACGGACAGACAGTAGAAGCTCTGTCCGAATTTGAAGCACAACACAGTAAGGATGAGGAGATAAGCCTAAACAAGACCCCGTTGGTTACGTCAAAGAGAGGGAGCTCTGACCAATGTTAGGTTAAATAAATGGCGACTATAACGAATAATTGAATAAAATAAATCATTCTTAGTATAATTATCATTGCCATCTCTAGCCATACAGTATCAAGTTACGGCATGGATTAGACTGATGCGTTGACCTATTCTACTGCATTGCTGCATACTAAACTAACGTCACCATCATCATCAACATCATCGTCATTATCATCACCATCATCATTGTCATCATCATCATCATTGTCCTAAACATCATTACCTTTACAGTATATACCAAAGCTAAGCTGATTACGTCGACACGAGGAATCATCACTAACCATGTCACTCATATTAAGATGTGATGTTAACTCGAGGTGTTCTGTTTCATTTTGTTACGTGACTATTTTAAGGGTCCGTAATCTGCAATATTAATAAAATATCAAATTACGATTTTAATCGTTGCTTTCTCGTAACATGCCAAAACTATGATAAAGCAACATCAAAATATGTTTTTTTTTTAAATAGGGTAATAACCCGAGGTGATTTGCAATTTTCTGAAATAAAATAAGGGTTTATAAATTAATATATCGTAGTTCAAATATGAACAACAATAATAATAATGTTTATAATGATGATGTCATGGTGGTGATGATAATGATGATGATGTTGATGATAATATCAATAATTGCAATTTCTAATACAAATGTGAAAAATAAAAGAAATTATTATAGAATGAAATTATGAAAATTGAATTCAATACCAATCATATAGCACAATAAACAAATCATAGTACTGTACCAATCAGAGCCGTAGATAGAGAGAGTTTGGCCAACTCGGTTTCAATCACGTGACTTACACCGGCCATGTTGTCACCAAAACAAAACAACGCGATAGGGTAGGAAGTTAGCAGTTATTATAGATGATTAATGCTATATAATGTGAAATACCGTTATGTTGGGTTTGGGTTGCTGCAATCGATCCAACAAAGAAACAAAAATGTATTAATTTCCTTAAATTCCAAAAAGGAGGAGGATTTGGGATTTTATTTTAACTTCGCATGGCGATCGAAAAAAATTTCGCTATCCACGTAGTACTATTACTAAATTACAAGGCATGTACCACTTCGCGGTAATAATATATCCACCTACTACTACTAGGCCCAGACAGGCCTAAATTTCGGTACTTCTTCGGCCGAACATCTTAAGGTAGTACTTAAATCAGCTTAATTACGATGATAATAAGAAAAAAAGAAGAATTTTCAAGCAGCAATGATTTATAAAAAGATGCGTTGTTGCACTTTGCTATTAAATTATATAACTAAATTTCCAGAAAGCTACATGAAGTATCAGTCAAAGCTTAAATTATTATAATAAAAAATTAAAATTGAATCCTCCAATAAAAGCGAAAACTTGTCCAAGGAGTCCTGAGCTATGCAAACATGCCCAATTGTGCTTTACAAATCAATTCATTGTGCAACTAAAGATTTTAAAGATAAACATATATTTTAAAGATATAGGCCTAAT